GATGGAGGCTGGATGTTGTTGTTAAGTGTAAACCAGTTAGGACTTTACAATAGTGCTGGGAGAAAAGTCATGAGAGCCTGAACTAGAACTTTGGAAACCAGAACCGACAGGATTCTGAGATTGTTTGAGATACAATCAGCGTGATAATAGCCCAAATTTCTCACTGGTTTCTTCTGCACCCAGGGTTCCTCTAAATTCAAGAAACTGTGGAGGCCAATATGGATTCATAGCTCTTCCTTTGACACCCCAAAAAATGTATTGTTGTTATCAGAGCTATCTAGTCAGTTCTGACTCTTAGCAACCCTGCTTAGTTAGGGTTTCCAAGGAGCAGCTGGTGGGTTTGAACTGCCAACTTTGTGCTTAGCCGGGAACTACTTATAACTCCTTTTTATTTCTCAAGCCTAGCTTGTTAACCAGCATTTTCTCTTAACAAGCCTAGCTTGTTAACCAGCATTTTCTGTTAACAAGCTTAGCTTGTTAACCAGCGTTTTCTGTTAACAAGCCTAGCTTGTTAACCAGCTTTGAAGCGTCATGTCACTTTAAAGTCAGTGCTTTTGTAGTACCAGGCTGCCCCCTTGTGGAAATTTAGAGTCTATCAAGCATAAACTTATTTCACGTGTTTGCCCAATTTATGCAATCAAATCACTAATGCATGTCAACTGAGTCAGGAAGATAATTGAATTTTCAAAAACAGAAAAGCTGTGTATAGCATATAGGAAGCCTACGGAAGATCGAAAGTTTCGACCCGCTTTGTATTTCAAATAAATTGCTCAAGAGGAGTTGAGAAAGCATTCAAAAGTACCAACCGACTCTTGCAGAAAAAAATAAACAAAGAGCTCTTCACCTTTTCCCTTCCTGTTTTTAGTTAATTCTTAGTAAAGGTTATTCAACTAAAATAAGACAGATGAATGAACCGGAGCAGGTAAAATGAAAGAGACAAAGGTGGGGACAGTGGAGAACCAACCACTGCCACTAAACACCTGCTATTTGGTATCTCGTGGAAATGCAGACCCAGGGCTATCACATTTTTAGGAGAAGGTGGAACTCTAGATTCCTATGGGAAATAGGCTGACTTTAAATGTTGAGAAGTCATTTAAAATTTTGAGAAAACAAAAAAACTCTACAGTCAACCTGTTTTCTATTATGCACTGTAGACAATTTATTCATTGTTAGTAGTGGTCAATGGCAAACTTTCCACTGGCTTATGGTGAATTAAAAAAAAAAAATCAATCAAAACAATGAGAGTTTCTGCATGGAGTTAAATCTATCCAACATAAAGGCCTGCTTATTCTCTCTCTGTGATTATATCTCTGTGTATGAGGGAAATTAAAAAGCTTCATGAATCAGTGGAATTAAGAAATTATGCAATTAATTTTCATTAACTTTTTGAAGCCCCCTCATATTTTGTGATAAAATATTTTTGTTTTATTGTTGTGGTTTATGTTAATACAGCCTTTATTTTATGAAATAGTGGTATTCTAATATTTTAATTGGAAAAATTAACATCGGCAACCTCAAAAATTTGTATTTTGTTTTATTTTATTTGTCATTGAAATCCAAGTGACTGGGTACTATTAGCTAAGATAATGGAAATTCACTGAAAGCTTATAAGCACTATTTCTGTTGGGAAGCAGTCATGGTAATGAAGTGAATTATAAGCTGGTCTGCTAATCACAAGGTCAGTAGTTTGAATCTACCAGTAGCTCCTCAGGAGAAAGATGAAGCTTTCTGCTCCTATAAAGATTTACAGCCTCAGAAACCTACACAGGGTCGCTATAAATCAGAACCAGCTCAGTGGCACACCACCACTATCACCACCATTTCTGTTGGAATACTGCTAGACTGTAAAGGAGCTCTGGTAGTGTAATGGTTAGAAATTGGGCTGTGAACCTCAGGGTCAGCAGTTCAAAACTACCAGCTGCTTCGCGGGAGAAAGATGAGGCTTTCTGCTCCTGTAAAGTTTTATAGTCTCAGAAACCCTGTACAGGGTCACTATGAGTCGGAACCAACTTCATGACACATAACAACAACAACAACAACAACTGCTAGACTCTAGCAATGATGTGTAAAATGTAGTTAGATTATTGGTTGGGATGCGATTAGAGTCCCAAAGCATGATGGTAATAGAATGTGAAACCCAAAGGAACTTTTGCTTCACTTATGATTGACAACATTAAGGTATGAAGAGGAAGGGAATTGTTACGACCACCCAGGGATTTAGTAGTGAAACACAACTACAACCTAGTTTTTCAACTTCAGGTGATTTTAAATTGTACCCGTACTGTATATACATCAGTCAGCGGGTACACAGAGACTCTGCTTTACTCAGTTAGTGGTAAAGCTTAGTAAATGATAATGTTTGACTCCATTGGATTCAAACATACCAATGATCAGGAAGATGTTTCATTCTGTCATACTTAATGTTACCATGCCATACGTTCGAGCCAACTTAAGTCAACTAACACCAAAAGCTAATAGAAAAGGTGCCTTGTGTAATTGCACCTTTTTTATTGGGAGTTGGAAGCCATGTTTTCTGCTCATTTTCCTTTGTCTCCTGTTTGTTACTTGATTTTCCTTTAGGATGCTTCTGTCCTGAGTACATCTTTGAATTTAAAGTGTCGTAGTCCACTTATTGTGATATTCAGCAATGAGAAAACATGAGTTGGTTAGCAAACGTACCCAATTCAATTTCCTCACTAGCCTACCCTCTTGCTATTGGTGCTTCATATGCATGTGAAATTTGGACAATGAATAAAGAAGATTGTAGAAGAATTGATGCATTTGAATTATGGTGTTGGAGAAGAATATTGAAAGTACCGTGGACTACTAGAAAAACAAACAAATCTGTCTTATAATGAGTACAACCAGAATGCTCCCTAGAAGCAAAAATTGTGAGACTTGATCTCTCATACTTTGGACATATTATCAGGAGGGACCAGTCCCTGGAGAAGGACATCATGCTAAGAAAAGGTTAGGGTCAGAGAAAAAGAGAAAGACCCCCAACACAATGAACTGACACAGTGTCAGCACTATCGGGCTCAAACATAACAATTGTGAGGATGGCTCAGGACCAGACAGTGTTTCATTCTCTTGTGCATAGTTGCTATGAGACGGAACCAACTTGACGGCACCTTACAAACACTCTTTTAAAATTGTTTTCTCCTTACTGTTTCTCATTTTCTCTCTCTGTCCTATTTCCCCACCTGTAGATAAATTTTACATGGTTAAGAGCATAACATATTTTATTTTCTTTTTCCTCACTTGTGCCTAGCACATAGTAGAGGTTTGGCTTGTTTATTGATAAATTTAAGAATGATGTCATAAGCAATGATAGCAGCTCTCATGAATCTAGCATTCTGCATGTACCATCTAAGTGTTTTTTTTTTTCTATGCGGTCTAATTAAAGTCAGTTTAAAAATACTTAGTGTTTGTACCATGTGTCCAGTGATGTGTTATATACTGCAGATACAGTGGTGAATCACATCATTGTGACCTTGGCCCACAGGAGTTTATTGTTGAAAATCCAATCCCTCCCTCACTCAGTTCTGCCTCAAATCCCTTCTGATACAGGATAGTAAATAGTTAAGGAACTAATTTTTAGGTACACAGTTGCTGTGAAAGAGAAACACTGAGTATTGAACCATAATATGATTTTATTTTGTTTAAGGATCAATGCTTTTATACTGTAGGATAAGCATTGGACTGCTAACTCAAAGGTCAGCAGTTTAAACCCACCAGCCACACTGTGTAAAATTTCCCAGAGTAAACACGGGGGGTATTTGATGAAAGGAGATCTGTCCAGAGGAACTAGCGCCCAGCGGGGAAAGTGGGCAAGATGAGGGTAGCAGAGGCTTTGCTATTAAATTCTCACTGGGCTTTGCAAAGTTTTATAATGCCTTTTATAAGTAGCAGATAATGGATTGCAGCTAATTGCGTAACTTCTTTGTGTCTCATTTGTCTAAAGCCTGTCCTTTCCTCTATGTTGAGTTCCTTGAGGACAGGAGTCCTGCAGGTCTTGTTCACTCCTGCTCTCTCAGTTTCTGGTTCAGGACCTAGACCCCGATCTGCATGTATTAAACATTTGTAGAATAACCACAAGAAGCCTGAAAGATTAACTTATGCTCCTCATTTTACAGAAGAGGAAACTGAGGGAATCGTAAGAACACTCCCTTTCTTGGCTGGTGATGTGAGAGGTGACAATGTGTCCCTAAATCATCTCTGGCTTAGTGAAATACTGGTCTTTCATGATTTGTTGAGTGCAGTGACTTTGTTACAGCACGTGAGGAGATTCGGATTTACTCATTCTGAGGTGGTACCACAACACTGGCTGGGTTTTAAAGCTTCTTGAGTGATTCTAATATGTGGCAGAATAAGAACCACCATTTTTTAGTGTTTTCTTTTCCAAACGTGTGGTATGCTACATGGCTAAAGAGAATAACAGAAAAAAGGTCTTTTTAATTGAACTATTATCATAAAGACATCTGAACAGTTGTTTCAAGCGTTGAAAGTACTGGTGGGCTATTACAGAGAGTGACAGCTGACATCAAAGCTAAATTTTTTCTTAATAAAGATATGATGTTCAAAGATTAGATAATTGGTAATTTCTGACTTGCAATTTTAAGGCCTGCCCTAACTTCTCCTGATTGCCTATGTTATCTTTAGCAAAAATCTGCTAGATGGGCTTGTCAGAATTGTCCTGGTATGGCACATTTTCTCATTGGGTAGAATTTGCAATGTTTCCTCCTTTTGTTCACTCATTCATCCGTCCAGTAAATATTCTTGTTGTGTTTCTATTGGAGCATTTAGAAAAATTGTCTCCTAGCCCTGGATATCTATGCTTGGCCTCGGCTTAAGGCTGGGCCTAACAGAGATTAAAAAATCTGCCCTTCAAAGCAATATATCACAACTTGGAAAAGCTGAAATTTTCATGTTTTGTTTACTTGTGTGGTGGTTTAATTGTACACATATTTCAAAACCTGTGTTTGTTTCTCTCCACTCAGCCCATTTGCCAGGCAGCTTATCAGAATGACTTTGGTCAAGTGTGGCGCTGGGTGAGGGAAGACAGCAGCTCTATCAACATTCAAGATGGCTTTAATGGCGACACTCCATTGATCTGCGCTTGCAGGCGGGGGCACCTAAGGATCGTTTCCTTCCTTTTAAGAAGAAATGCTAATGTGAACCTCAAAAACCAGGTGAGATAATAACACTTCAGAGGAGAGAAAAATTGACCACAGTAATCCCTTTCTCCTCTCATCACTGAAAGTGGGTAACTGTCATTTTCTCATTACTTAGAGCGCCTAATAGCAACGTAATTTTTTTTTAAATCTGCCTTACTTTAGAAAGATTGACATACACTCAGAACATTGCATTAGGCTAAAAAGCAATATGCAACAAAGGTCAATCAGCAGGCATATTTTGTGGTCAACTATGTCCTTGTACTCAGAAAGAGAGTCCACAGTTTTGGCAGGGTAGTGTTTCTGTCTGATTCATTCTTCTTTTCCCTTCCTTCTGTTCCTTCCCCTTCCTCCTCCTCACTCATCCGTGTGCAAATAATGGGAAGCAGATAATGGGAGGAAGCATGACCTTGTGGTGCTCTCAATAATTTTTTACTCACTATTTTCAGGTCCTGATCTCCAGAAGGTAAGTTATTAATCATACAGCTTGCTTATAAAATTAAACACTGTAACAGTTTCTAGAATGTCAAGACTGAAAAGAATGTTAGTAAAGATTTGATCAAATGGTTAATAACAGAGGCTCACAAAGTTTTAGGTCAATTTTCCCAGTTCAGGTAACAAAATCAGGATGAGGGTAACTACGTCATTTCCTTATAGGTCCAGAAAGCAGAAGAGGCTGTGAGATACAGAAAGCAATATTCTTCCAGAAAAAAGCAGATACAGATTCTTCCTTACAAGTTGAAACTTTCTCCATTTGCTTATTTTGAGGAGTTCTTGACAATCTGAATTTAGATGAAAGATCCTATTTTCATCTTATGGAAATAGGAACATTTTGAAAGGGTCAAGAAATAATTGGTTTAACAGAGGTTCTAAGAAGAAACCCAGAGTCTTAAAAAATGTACTCTAGGCTTCCTCACTCTGACCAGAGAGCTTTGTTAAGCATGACTGGCTGCAGCTATGTCCGTCTTCATCAGTGCACTCCAGAACCCTCTGAGGAAGCTATAGTTTTAACAAGTGCCTAAGTCGACTCCACAAGGAGCTCTGGTAGCGTAGTGGTTACGAATAGGGTTGCCAACCTCAAGGTCAGCAGTTCGAAACTACCAGTTGTTCCGAGGAAGAAAGATGAGGCTCTCTGCTCCCGTAAAGATTTACAGCCTCAGAAACCCTGTGCAGGGTCACTATGAGTCAGAACTGTCTCCACAGTACTTAAAAACAAGTCGACTCCACGGCACATAACAACAACAACAAAGTCAACTCCACAGCACTTTACAACAACAAAATTGACTGCAGGAGTCCTGGTATGGTGTTGTAGGATAAACACTGGGCTGCTAGCTGCAAGGTTGATGGTTCAAACCCACCATCCACTCCTTGGAAACCCTAGTCACTATGAGTCAGAATCAACTTGATGACATTTAATGATAACAAGTTGACTATAGGACAGGTGTTCATAGACCATACTTTGCCAATATTAGGGAGCAGAATACCTAATCAAATCCCAAGCCATGGCATTTTCAATAACCTCCTATGCATGTGAAAGTTGGACAGTGAATAAGGAAGACCATAGAAGAATTGATGCTTTTGAGTTATGGTGTTGGAGGAAAATATTGAAAGTGCCAAGGGCTGCCAAAAGCACCAATAGATCCTTTTTGGAAGAAGTGCAGCTAGAGTGCTTGCTCCTTAGAGGCCAAGATGGGTAAACTTCATCTCTCATACTTTGGATATACAGTCAGAAGGGACTAGTCGCTGGAGAAGGATATCGTGTTTGGTGGAGGGTCGGAGGGTCGGAGAAAAAGAGGAAGACACCCCCTCCCCCCCAGTGAGATGAATTGGCCAAGTGGCATCATCAATGGGCTCAAGTGTGGCAATGATAAGTGAGGTTGGCCCAGGATCGGGCAGTGTCTCTTTCTGCTGTGCATAAGGTTGCTATGAGTCAGTACTGACTCAATGGCACCTAACAACAACAACAATTTTAAAAAGTAAGGGATAAACCACATTAATTTGTTTCATATGCATTCTTAGTGATCTTCCTGCTTGTATAAGTACTATCAAGCTGGTTTCGATACATAGCAACCCTAAATTTTTTTACAAGTTTCTCCTGGTGTGTTTGAACCTCCAACCTCATAGTTAGCATTCCAGAGCTTAGTTATCTGCTGCTGTTGTTAAGAGCCATTGAGTCAGTTTTGACTCACAGTGATCCCGCAAAAGGTTTCTAAGGAGCAGCTGATGGGTTTGAACTGCCAACCTTGTGGTTAGCAGTCTAGTGCTTATCCTACAGAGCTACTGGTGCTGCATAAATAGAAATATCACAGGTAGTTGGCTTTAACAAACAGATATTTATTTTGTCACAGGTTAGGAGACCGGAAGTCCAAATTTAGGGTGCCAGTTCTAGGGGGAGATTTTCTCTCTGTGCTGGCTGTGGAGGACGGTGTTTTTAATGTTTTGGTGATCTTTTTCATTTCTCCCCAACCTAATCTTTGTACATTAATAAACAGAATCAGTGCTTTCTCACTTCTTAAATCAATATTTATGAGTTATTTTCAGATATACTGAATCAATAAATGCCTTAAAAACAAATTAAAATATTTGCTGGTAATTCAGATGAGTGTGCCCAATAACTTTATGAAAGCAGAAAGCCTTACCTTTCTCCCACGGAACAGCTGGTAGTTTTGAACTGCTGACCTTTAGATTCACAACCCAATTTGTAACTATTATGCTACCAGAGCTCTCTCTCTCTCTCTCTCTCTCTCTCTCTCTCTCTCTCTCTATATATATATATATATATATATATATATATATATATCTATCTATCTATCTATCTATCTATCTATCTATCTATCTATCTATCTATCTATCTATCTATCTATCTATAGAGAGAGGGAGGGAGAGGGAGAGAGAGGGAGTCCTCCTGGGGTGGTGCTGTAGGATAAGCACTAGACACTGCTAACACAAGGTTAGCAATTCAAACCAACCAGACACTCCTCAGAAATTCTGTACTGGGTCGTTATGAGTCAGAATCCACTTTATAGCACACACAAAAACAACAACAGTATATATATGTTGGGGGTGGGTTGTAGGATAAGCACTGGACTATTAACCCAAGGTTGGATGGTTCAGACACACCAGTTGCTCTTTGGAAAACCTGTACAGGGTCGCTGTGGGTTGGAACCAATTCAAGGAAACTTAAAAACAACAATATAAACCACCAAATTGACCAAGATTAAAACAGAAAGTCAAGTGGTGAGAGGAAGTATAAACTATTGTTATTTTGCTGGAAGACATTTTGGCATTATTTTACAGAGTCTTAATATCTTTTATGCCAGGAAATCAGTGTTTACAAATTTACGTTCAACAAATTTAGAAATATTGACAAAGCTTCATAAATGAGGATGTTCAGGCCTATTATTTATAAAAATGAAACTTAAAAGCTTGAAATGCCCACCCAGGTAAGGATTTGGCAAAAAAAAAAAAAAAATTGTTTCACTCAATAAAAGCCATGCAGCCATTAAAATCATATGTTTAAATGTATTAAATGGCATGAACAGTATGCATAAATATTAAGTGAAAGAAGAAATGCATGTTTTTTTTAAGTTTTTATTATGAATTATGTGATAGTTTACATGGGAGAACACCAGCTTTACATTCCTCCTATCGTATTTGTTTCATTACAATGATTACAATCCCCTAGATGCATCATCAACCAACCAAAGGGTACACCCTGCAAGCCTGCCTGCAGGTCATCAGCACACAGCCCCTCTTCTTTTCTAGGTCTGCAGTCCCCAACTGCTCTATCTCTCCCCGTCAGTCTCTGCCTCCAATCTCTGGCATCACTGCTTCTCTGGGTAGGGTCTTACACTCTGCTCTTCTCCCTTGATGGTCCCAGGGACCTCTGCTCCTGGACTGCAAAATCAGCCACTCCCCTCCTTTTGTTACAAAACCTCTACCTTTACATTTCTGACCCTCACAGTCAGTCCTGATAGCAATTATTCACTATTGTACCACAAGTGTCTTATCCCCATCTCCTTTCATCATCCCAGACCTAACAGATTGGAATCCACTCAGTGGAGATCCTACCTTCCCCTGCACCCTCTGGAACTAGGCTCCCTCTTGAAAGCTTGTAAGCCAGTCACTTCTTGCCTTTGTAGCCCCCCTCCCTTACCCCATTTTGGATAGCGAATGTCTAAGTTGTCCATCCCTGTCAACCCTGTATACCGAGGGATTGGGGATGATCCTCGCTGTAAAGATTTGTTCCCTCTTTTGAGCTACTACATCTATAAGTTTAGGTCAAGTTCATCAAATTGTAGCAGATTACTCTTTTTTTCCCTCTTCTTTCTTTTTCTAATCAAGTTCTGATCATCCAGCTGTTGAAGCCAAGTCAAGTGGGTATTATCAGTGTTCTTGTGCAAATCCCCTCACTTTATATCAGCTGGATGCTTCAATCTCGCTCTAGTCCTCTGTGGCCATATCACTGCCTCTGGACCCAGGAGTCCCTGGGTCTTGCCGTACTGCTGGCCAACCAGGTCTCAACCTGGGTTCACAGGAGTCTATTGGATGTGGTCGAACTTAGCTCACAACTTCATTGCTGTTTTCCCCCCACCTTCCCCTTATTGGTGACCAACGTAGTCACCACCCAGACCACATGACTGCTCATGTATTCTCCTTGAGTCTTAGTCTTGGAAGGGAGTAGCAACGTATGATTTTTGAATATACAATGTGATCCTACATTTTTAAGTCACACACATATGCGTTTTTAAAGACAAGAGGAAAATACACCAAAATGTCAACAATTAGCTCTGGGCTACTGGAAAATGAAGGGCCCCTGGTGGTGCTGTATGATACACAGTGAACTAACAACAACCAGGTCATTAGTTGAAACCCACCAGCTATTTCCTAGGAAAAACATGAGTCTTTCTGCTCCCTTAACGTTTGGGAACCTTGGAAACTCTATACATGGTCACCATGAATCAGAATTGACTAGATGGCAACAGGTTGAATAATGAGGTGATTTTAAAGCCTCTCTTTATTGTTGTTGTTAAGTGCCGTCGAGTTGGTTCCAACCCATAGCGACCCTGTATAGGGTTTCCGAGGAGTGACTGGTGAGCTTGAACCACCGACCTTGCAGTTCAAACGGCTTTGCAATCTGGCATATTAACCCACAGCGCCATACCACGTTGAATAATGAGGTGATTTTAAAGCCTATCTTTATACTCCTGTCTAATTTCCAAATAGTTTACAGGAAACATATACAAGAACTTTGGTATTTAGACAAACCAGAAACTGTTCTTACTAAAGAATTTTACCTTTTCCCAAAATGGGATTGACTTCTTTTCTTTCTCGGTCTCCTCTCATTGAAGTGGTTGGCATTTCAGTTATTACAGACTATGGGGCACTGATACGATACCATAGGATAAGTACTCAACCTCAAGTTTGATTTGAATCACAAGGTGGGCATTCAAACCCACCAGCTGCTCCTCAGAAACCCTGCACAGAGTCGCTATGAGTCAGAACTGACACAATGGCACTTAACAATTATGAATTATACTTAATTGTATATGTTTCTGTCTAGCACCGATCATGTGCTCTTGGAGCTTCACAATACCCCATAAGCATTAGAGGGTGAAGTAGATTATTGTTAAGTGCCATAGCGTTAGTTCCAACTGAATCAGTGTTCCAAGGAGCAGCTGGTGGGTTTGAACTGCCAACCTTGCGGTGAGATGTTGAACGCTTCTCATACAGCGCTACACCAGGAGTTGAAGTATGTTGTTGTTGTTGCTAAGCACCATCTCATTGGTTCTGATTCATTTGGATTCTGTACAGTATTTCCGAGGAACGGGTGGTGGGTTTGAACTGCCAACCTTGCGGTTCAAACCGACCTTATGGTCCAGTGTTTATCCTACAGCGTCACACCAGGACTCCTGATAAATAGTCACATATTTCAAGGATTCAACTGAGTCATTTGCATTCTTCTAGCACTGTCAGTATACAGGTGAAGATTTTCTTATGCATAAACCTTAAAATAGACCATCCATGTACTATTGATGATTAAGGATTAACTATAAGGAGCTCTGGTAGCATAGTGGTTATGAATTGGACTACTAACCTCAAGGTCAGCAGTTCGAAACTACCAGCTGTTCTGTAGGAGAAAGATGAGGCTTTCTGCTCCCGTAAAGATTTACAGCCTTGGATACCCTGTGCAGGGTCACTATGAGTCAGAACCAACTCCACAGTACTTAAGAACAATGTGGTACTTTAGGATCAGTACTGGACTGCAAACTACAAGTTCAGCAGTTCAAACCTACCAATTGCTCCTTGGAAACACTGCACAGGGTCCATATGGTCTGGAACCAACCAGATGGCACTTCACAACAACAACAACACAGCTTTTAATGAGTCCTAGTGTGGCGCTGTGGGATAAGCACTAGACTGCAAGGTTGATTTCAACCGCCAGGTGGGTGGTTCAAACTCACCAGCCATCACTAGGAACTCCTATACAGGGTTTATATGAGTCAGAATCGACTCCAAGGCACTTAACAACAACAGTAACAAATAGCTTTTGATGGAATCTTGATGTGGCACTGTAAGATTCATACTGGACTGTTAACCATAAGGTCAGAGGTCAAAACCTACCAGCCACTCCTCAGAAACTTTATACAAGGTTGCTGTGAGTTGGAACCACCTCAGTGGCACTTAACAACAACAAAACTTTTAATACTAAATTCAGTTTTGTATTTATGAGGGAGCTTCAAGATGTTCCTGGAAAAATGAAATTAAAAGATAATGATATTTTTTCACAAACTTTTTGAAGCCACCCCTATGTATCTCAGCATTTTTGTCTCCAATCCTAAATCTAGTGTGAGAATTCATCTTAAAAGAATTTGAAAAAGATATATATTTCACCTTTTACCTTTCTGTAAAGTATCTCTGGTGGTTCAGTGAGTTAAATGTTGGACTGCTAATCTCAGGGTGGGTGGTTCAAAGCCACTAGCAACTAGATGGATGTGTCTGCTCCCTTAATGATCTGCAGTCTCTGAAATCCTATGGATTACTTGTACTCTGCCCTTTGGGGATGCTATGAGTCAGAATCAACTCAGTGGCAGTAGGTTTTTGGTATGGGTGTTTCTGTCAAGTGTCCTTGTTAAAGTGTTTGGCTACTAACTAGAAAGTGGGTGATTTGAACCTCCACAGGAGAAAGAGGTGACGATCTGCTTCCATAGAGATCGCTACCCCCCTAGGGCAGTTCCACTCTGTTCTGTAGGGTCTCTGTGAGTCTGAATTCACTCAGCAGCAGTTGGTTGGATTAGGTTTGAGTTTTTCTGTGGTTGTTTCATGATTTTTGTTAAAGTTCAATATTCTGGCCAGTGGGAAAACTGAGTTACTTGACTAGAGATGTTCCCACTAAAAGGGGTGTTAAGTAAATTCCCATGGGTCCCGTAGAAATCGAAAGCACAAATTAAACTTTTTGGTATGGTAACCTGAGACTATGAAAGTTAAAATAAAATTATTTAAATCAAAAAACACCCTTTTTTCTTAGAAAGAGAGAACCTGCTTGCATTATGCCGTGAAGAAAAGATTCACCTTCTTTGATTACCTACTCATCATCCTCTTAATGCCTGTTCTGCTCATTGGGTATTTCCTTATGGTGAGTACAACACTTGTTAGAGCAAATGCATAGTGAAACAATAACATGATTCCTCAAGTTTTGCTTGGCTGGTGAAATGTAAAGAAATAATAAAATAAGTTCTTGTATTTTATAAATGACCTTTTCAACACACATGCAATGCTATGATTGGAATAAAGAAAGAAGAAAAGTCTATGGTCTACAAGACCAAGTCCATGTTTGGTGTCTCCAAGAACTCCAGGTTCAAAGCCTGTTTTTTGTTTTTACAATGCAATAATTAGACTCATTTTAACACTGTGATTAGTAACACATGCAAGTGGGCTATGATCTTATCCTTCTAGCATTCACGCTAACTCACTAGGAGGTCATGATGTCCCGATAAGCACAGGAGAAGGCAGTACATGATTAACTTTTCTGTTTGCCTAGGAGGCATTTCCTTATCAGAAGCTGCACAAACAGAGGCCAGGCTTCAAATAGAACAAATTAATCCATAATATTCTAACAATGGTGAAAGCATACATCTAAGACACAAGCACAGAAAGAAGGGCGTGCGTATGGAAGATGGTCTCAGGCTTGATTGTATTGCCTCTTAACCAAGTTATGTTCTCAAAATAGCTACAGTCACATTTATGCAGGTGAAATAACTCCACTCACACTCTCACTATTAGGGTTCCAGTTCAGGCCTATACAGGTTTATTCCACAAAACATATTTAAACTTGTCTCTGTGATCAATGGATAGCTGCAGACACATTCTCTTAGTAATACACCTGGCTTAGTGCTGTTAAGTGTTTTGTTGTTGTTGTTAAGTGCTGTCAAGTTGGTTCTATCTCATAGCAACCCTGTAAAGGATTTCTGAGGAGCGGTTGGTGAGTTTGAACCACCGACCTTGTGGTTCAAACCGACCAGTATCCTTGTGGTACCTTAAAATATAAAAGGCCCAATCAAAATGGTGACTTCTGAGGAGATCTGCTGGGACAGTTGTTAAATCCATTGCAGAGAGGTCAGCTTAGAAGATTATGGTGAATTTTCTCTCCCTTTGTGGTCAGTTTCACCTTTGAGAGCTAACCCATCATATTTGTAATTCATTCCAGTTAAATAATCTTGCTCTCTCCTCATAACTAATATGAAGGTTTGCTACTAATAAAAGCATTGCTACAAAATCATAGAAACCCTCATAAAACAAAAGTATTAAAAATGTAAAGTTACTCCTTGATATTCTCCATCTAACCTATAAATTTCTGAAGGTGGTATTTCCATCTCTGTAACCCTTCCCTGGTGTGGTTCTATGGGATAATGCACTAAACTGCAAGGTCAGTAGTATACCAGCCACTCCTCAGAAAGCCTATACAGGGTTGCTATGAGTTGGAACTGACTCAACAGCACTTAACAACAACAAAAGCCTTTCCCTGAAGAATTCTGTTTTCCTGTGTCTATTTTTAAACAATACTTAAGAAAGAAAGCTCTATGGAACACAGTTCTCTGACACACATGTGTTACCATGAGTCATAACTGACTCTTCAAGGACTTGTGTTTATCATTAGAAAGCTCCACCCAGTGGTCTTCTCTCTTTGTACTTCCCTACTGTGTCAACATGAAGTCCTGGTGTGGCGCTGTGGGTTAATGCGCCAGACTGCAAAGCCATTTGAACTGCAAGGTCGGCGGTTCAAGCTCACCAGCTGCTCCTCGGAAACCCTATACAGGGTCGCTGTGGGTCGGAATCGACTTGACGACACTTAACAACAACAACAACAACTGTGTCAATGTCCAAACTGCTTTTCTTCTCCTGACCTTCCCTAAAATAACTCAACACTTTCAGGGTTCTTCCCTGCTGAATTTCTCTCATGCTGTTTGTCATTGGTTTATCACAAAGCTGTATTTGCATGCCCCAATAATCAGTAAGGTTCATGCACAATTGGAACTGAGGAAATTCATTCCACTTAGTGGCCTCTGGGTAGAGTTTTCCTAAATGATAAAGCAAGTCTCCAGAGAGCTCTGGGCTGAACGAAGGTTCTATGGGAAAAAAAGTGCATGAAAAAGCTCACATGAAATCAAGTACAGAAAAAATCCGCTGTCATAAATGCCCACGCAGAAAAATACACACATAGGAAAATTTCTCTGCTCACAACCAGAACCTGAGTCTAGACCAAAATCCTATTTTTTATACAAGAATTTTTCTACATGCATTTTTTTTTCCATGTGGGAATTTTCCTTGTGCTCATTTGTGACTGTGGAATTTTTTCTGTGTGTGATTTTCATGTGTGTTTTTGTGTGTGTGTGTGTATGTGTGTTTGTGTATGCTTTTCCTGCTTAGAGACCAAGGCAGACACTCTTTTTCTTTTTTTTTTTAAGTTTTTATTGTGAATTATGTGTTAGTTTACATGAGTGAACATTATCTTTACATCCATCCTATTGTATTTTGTTTCACTGCAATGATCACAATCCCCTGCATGCATCATCAAACAAAAGGTACACCCCACACTCCTGCCTCCGTACCAGCCATAACCCCTCTCCCTTCCTAAGTCCAGAGTCCCCAGCTGCTCCTTTTGTCCACTTCATTGTCTCTGCTTCCATCCCCAGTGTCATTGCCTTTCCAAACATGGTCTCCTCCTTGCACTTCTCTTTTCTCCCTTGATGTTTCCAGGGATCTCCACTCCTGGACTGCAAAATCAGCCACTCTCCTCCTTTTGTTACCAAACATTTACATTTACATTTACATTTACCTTTCCAACACTGACTATCAGACCTGATAGCAATCATTCCCTATTGAACCACAGGAGTCCTTTCCCCCTCACCTTTTATTAACCCCATCCAGAGAGGTTGGAAACAATTCAGTGGAAGCTCTACCTTTCCCTGCATCCTCTGGAGCTAGGTTCCCTATTGGAAGCTTGTAAGCCAGTCACTTCTTGCCTTTGTAGTGCCCCCATTTTGGGTAGCCAATGTCTAAGTTCCCCCTCCCTGTTGACCCTGTGTACCAAGGGTGTGGGAATGATCCTCACTGTAGAGATTTGTCCGCTCCTTTGTCACACTGCATCCACAAGCATAGGTCAAGTTCATCCACTTAGAGTGGGGTTACTCATTCTTTCTTTTTTTGTCCCTCTTCTTTCTTCCTCTAGTCATGTTCTGATCATCCAGCCATTGATGCCAGGTCAAATGGGTACTATCTGCAAGTGTGGGTGTTCTTGTGCCTCTCCCCTCATTTTATGTCAGCTGGATGCTTCACACTCTGTTCTAGTCCTCTGGGGACATGTCCCTGCCCCTGGGCCTAGGAGTCCCCAGGTCTCATCATACTGCTGGTTAACCAGGTCTCAATCTAGGTTAACAGAAGTCTATTGAATGTGGTTGGACTTAGTTCACAGCTTCATTGCTGTTTTTCCCCCGCTTCCCCTTACTGATGACCAATGTGGTCAGCAGCAGAACCATATGCCTGCTAGTGTGTTCCATTTGAGTTTCAGTCTTGGAAAGGGGTTTGCCTTTAGGCGACCTGACCACTTGCCTTGATGTCTCCCTGGGGAACAGCTTGCTTGTTCTTGTAGTAGTCAATTGGACTGCTGTTACTGTTTTTTATTTTTTCTGTTGGTCTTTCTTTCAAGAAGTATTTTCTGTTCTTCTAGCTGCTCCAGACTGGTCTGCTTGTCCTTGCACGTGGGGATGTCCCACCTCAGAAGATTCCAAGGCAGACATTCTTTACTAATTAAGCTAACTTACTGTTTGGTTTAAAGAAGAGTGCTGGGGATATTTTTGGTTTAAGGTTTAAAGATTGTCTCAGAACAGTGGACTGATGCAGAGAAGGTGACTATATATGAGAGCCTAGAAGAGGAATGCTGCCTGATCAGGTAAATCAGTGAAGTTTACTGGAGGAGGAGTGCTTCAGTGCTTTCAGACTGAGATCTGAAAGATGAATTCACCAGATAAAGATAGGAAGAAGGAGGCTTCCAGGTAGAGGGAACATTGTGTACAACTGTTCTGGAGCAGGTGGGAGCCTGTTCAGATGAAAGATTACAAAAAATCTATGTAGGTGGAACAGATTGAGCCAAGGGGGGTAGAGTGAGGCAAGGGGCTGGGAAGGTAGGGGGAGGGTGAGAGATCTGGGCTTTTACTTACTGTAGGCCATACTGAAGAGATTATTTTTGTCCTGAGCACAATGGGAAATTACTGATACATTTCCAACCAGGATGAAAAAGACTCCACCTTTAGTAGGATTTATCAGGTCTGGGGTGACGGTGATCCTTTACAGGAACTGATGCTGCTGTTCTAGGACCACACTCTGAGAACCACCAAACCCAACCCAAAGCCACTACTGTTCAGCTGCTTTCAACTCATTGCAGTCTTTTAGCATCTAGTGTAACTGCCTGAAAGGGTTTCCCCAGAGTAGTCTTTATAGACTTCATGCTTAGTACAGTAGAGAGTCAACAGAAGACCCCCCAATGAGAAGGATTGGCCCCATAACAGCAGCAACAGACTCAAGAGTTACAATGATTGTGAGGATGGTACAGGATCCGGCGTTGTTTTGTTTCCTTGTGCATAGGGTCGCTCTGAGTTGGAACTGACTCAGTGGCCCCTAACAACAACAGGTCTTTATGGAAGCAGAATGCCTCATCTTTCTCCCTCAGAGCAGCTGGTGGTTTTGAACCACTGACCTTTTAATTAGTAGTGGAGCACTTAACCAATGTGCCACTAGGACTCTGCCTGAGAACCACAGTTTTAACTGATTGAAAGGGAAGGGTGTAGGTTGATGAGGTGGGACATTTTAAGAACAAGGCATACGAGTGCTGAGTGTTCACATTAAAATGAAGACGAAGCCTGTTATTGGTTGATTGAAACAGTTTCAGACATACACTGGAAAACTGTTTTTAAACAAACTTCTCTTGTATTTGCTGTTTATTATAGGTATCAAAGACAAAGCAGAATGAAACTCTTGTACGAATGATACTTGACGCTGGCGTCGATGTTAATGCTACAGACTGCGTAAGTTTGCAATTTCGGTCATTTTGAAATAATACTCAATTTTGAAATAATACTCAAAATGGTTCTTGCCATTTGTGGATGGAAATGCTTGCACTCTTTTCTAGATGTTTTCACATTCTTATTTTTACTAACAGTCAGGGAATCATCACTAAATATCATTCTTGATGCTTAAAAGAAAAAAAAGTTGGAATGTCTATATAGAAATCTAGGATTCACTCATCATTTTTTATCTATGTGAGTTTTGACAAAATGAAAACTTATCCAGATTCCAGCTTCCTCAACTGTAATGTGGGGATATTGATAGTACTTGTCTAACAGGACTGATTCCTAGAAAGTACCTACAGAGTGCCTGTGTTCAATAAATCATAACAGTTGCTACAACAACCAGACTCCCAATCCACGAGTAAGAAAGTCTCCAGGTGTAAGATGTTCAAACGCCAAAGAACGTACGCATGATAGGAGTAGTGATAACAGCTGGAGTGGTATCTTACTTTCTTAGTGTTGTTATCACAGAAATACCACAAATATGTGGTTTTAATGAACAGATATTCATTCTCTCTTGGTTTGGGAGACTAGAAGTTTGAATTCAGGCCACTGGATGTAAGGGGAGACTCTCTCTGTTGGCTCTGGAGAAAATTCTTTCTCGGTTTCTGTAGTCTCCTTCTTGGTGTTCCTGATGATCACCATGTGTCAATTATCTTCTTCAGTTTTGCTTGTCTCTTCTGTGTCTAATCTGCTTTTTTTTTATATCTCAGAAGTGATTGGCTTAAAACATATTTTGGTTTATGGCATCCATAACAAAACAAAGGAGACCATATTTCCAAATGAAATTGCATCCCCAGATATGTTATTGTTAAGTGCTGTGGAGTCAGCTCAGACTCATAGGGACCCTGTATAGGGCTTCCGAGGAGCAGCTGGTGAGTTTGAATTGCCAATCTGGTGGTTCACAGTCTGGTGCTGATCCTACAATAACACACCAAGAGTCCATCCCCTGATTCAACGGCACTTAACAACAACAATAGATGGTTAGCAGAGGATTTCTTTTACTTAAGTTATAAACTACATAATGTGAAAAGTATCATTGAAGAAGCCATGTACTGCTATCTTTGGAGAGCTGGTTAGTGAGCTATGACGCTGGCCCTTTGTGTTTCAGTATGGCTGCACTGCCCTGCATTATGCCTGCGAAATAGGAGTTCACATTTTGCAATTCTTCCCTTGCACCCCTGCACCCTTGCACTCATCCTCCTCCCTGCAATGATCAAAGTGGGTCAAAAGTTTATTTGTACATTTTAAAATTTCATTTTACTTATTGAACACAATTTTGGGTTCCTAGTTCTTTGATGAAAAAATCGGCATGCTGTAATTTGAGTCCTTAAAAGGTGTTCTATTTGGGATGTCTGATTTATTTGAGTATGCACATTGTTCTTTGCATATTCAAGTGTTTCATCCCTGTTTCTGTTAATTTTCTATATTGTTTTGTTGTTGTTGTTAAGTGCTGTCGAGTCAGTTTCAACTCATAGCAACCCTTTATAGGGTTTTTGAGGAGCAGCTGGTGAGCTTGATCCACTGACCTTGTGGTTCAAACCACCCTTGTGGTCCAGCGCAGTAAGTTTGGGCTTTATTGGCAAAGTTTATTTACATGAAGGCTATGTCCATGTGTTTGTACGTGTATGTGAATACACAGGCATATGTGAGAGAAAGCTACTGTGCTGATGTGATGTATGTTTTTCTTTTATTTTAAATGAATTTGGGTAGACATTACCACTATGTATCATAATTTCTTTAGATACCTTTGTTGTTGTTGTTGTTGTTAAGTGCCATCGAGTCGGGTCCGACCCATAGCGACCCTGTACAGGGTTTCCGAAGGTGTAAATCTTTACGGGAGTAGAAAGCCTCATCTTTCTCCCGCGGAGCAGCTGGTAGTTTCGAACCACTGACCTTAAGGTTTGCAGCCCGATTTGTAACCACTACGCTACCATACCTTTGAAAGGTATTAAATAAAATATTATTAAATATTAAATAATTCAAAAGGCTTCATTTGTGACTTTAAACAAAAGTACTCTAGGCTGTTCTCTATGTCTCTCTTTATCTTTAGATGAGATATTACATTTCTGTGTGTGAGCATACACACATACACATGAACACACACATACTAACTTGCCTATCATTCTGCAAATATAATATCCATATTAAGATCCATTTCCCAACTCTAAGTAATATAATATTTTGTGCTTTAAGATAATTAGAGTCACTTCACCAGGAAACAATCATTGCCAGATCTTGTCTTTATCATTCAATCATGTAATAAAAAAAAGAGGCTGTGACATTATCAACTCTAATCTTAGAAGCGTTTCTAAGATCTATTATGTTAGTCTCGATGACCAGGACATTATTTTTGCAGTTACTAAAGCTATCATGCTTGTACACAAATGCCCCAATTGAAAATTTCCTTTGATATGTAGCTAGTATTTTAAATGAATACAACAGGGTAATCTACTATGAATACACCCAGTATAGGGAATGCCTACACAGAGCTGCACTGACCCTGAAGGCATGTTGGAGTACCACTTGTTGTTTTCAGACTGTAAGATTTTCAGTAAGGACCGTAAAGGATATTATTTACAAAAAAGTCCACAAGGAGACGCTTTAAAGGGAGAAACTGGTAATATGATCAGGGTGCTGATTGTAGAATTATACAAAGAAATCTTGGGATATTTTGAGCATCAGCTTTTTATAAGATGGGTTTTTAAGTTTAGAACCGAAAATGAGCAAAGGAGATATTGATGACCTATAGGATATTAATATACATACTGAAGCAGAGCAGATAAACCATTTTAAGTACCTGCAATGCAGATACCCGGAGATGACTGGAGTCCTGATGTGGTGCTGTAGGATAAGCATTGGACTGTAAGGCTAGCAGTTCAAACTCACCAGCCACTCCTTGGAAATCCTATACAGGGTTGCTATGAGTCAGAACTGATTCACTTAACAACAACAATAGATGGCTAGTAGATGATTTCTTTTAATTAAGTTATAAACTACATAATGTGAAAAGTATCATTGAAGAAGCCATGTACTGCTGTCTTTGGAGAGCTGGTTAGTGAGCTATGACGCTGGCCCTTTGTGTTTCAGTATGGCTGCACTGCCCTGCATTATGCCTGCGAAATGAAAAACCAGACTGTTGTCCCTCTGCTCCTTGAAGCCCATGCAGACCCCAGGATAAAGAACAAGGTGAGGATCTGTGGACCTTGTGGGATGAGGCCTTGTTTCTGATGTTAAGAACAATATAATTAATCATCTTTACTAAGGAATTGAGTGATTCTATTCTTGTACAGGGTCTATGAGTCAGAACCGACTCCACGGCACATAACCACCACCACCACCATTACTGTTTAGGAGCTCTGTTGGTTCCATGGTTAAGCGCTGGGCTGTTAACCATAGGTCTGTGGTTCGAGCCCATCAGCCGCTTCATAGGAGACCTATGGGGCAGTCTGTGTCTATAAAGACAAAGCTTTGTAAATTCTTTGGGGCAGTTCTACTTTGTCCTATAGGGTCACTCTGAGTTAGAGTCAACTCAGTGGCCATGGGCTTTGTTTTGTTTTGTTTTGTTTTAGTTTCTTATTGTTAGAGGAGCCCTGGTGGTATGATGGTTACGTGCTCAGCTACTAACAGAGAGATCAGTTATTCCAACCACTCAGTGGCTCAAAGAGAAAAGGTGATCTGCTCCCATAAGATTGCAGCATAGGAAGTCCTATGGAGCAGTTCTGCTCTGTCCTCTAGGGTCATGATGGGTACGAATGGACTTGAGGACAAATAGCATTACTGTAATAAGGAATCCCTGGCTGGTATGAATGATTAATGCACTAGGCTGCTATTTACAGGTAGGAGGTTTGAGTGCACCCAGAGGCACCTTGAAAGAAGTACCTTGCATCTACTTCCCAAATATCAGCCATCAAAACCCTATGGAGTACAGTGCTACCCTGACACACACAGGGACATTAAAAGTTAAAAACAACTTGATAACAGCTGCTTTGGATTATTACTATTAGAACTGAATGGCATTTAAAGCCCTTGACAAATTCAAGAACCATCGAATCTAAATAGTTTAATAGATCCTTTGAATTGATAATTGACTCAACTGGAAATAAATAACTACAACTTCTTTTTCTCCTCAGCATGGCGAGAGTTCACTAGACATTGCACGAAGATTAAAATTTTCCCAGATTGAATTAATGCTAAGGAAAGTTTCATAGTCCTTGTGGCCTCACAGATGGAGAAGTAGGCCAAGTTAAAGGACTGGACCCTATCTCTATTGTGGACTGCTGGACTATTTATTGGCCATTCAACCTGGAAGCCATCATTTCATGGTGATAATCATGGTTGCCATGGGTATTGTTTCTGAAGAGCTTGGGTATTTATGATGTGTTTTGCTCTGTGGAGTTCACCATGACCATAATCCTCTAGGGGAAGCATTCAATTTATTGGAATCTTCACTTAGCCTAAACATGTGATGTTTTATTCAGTCTCTTCTAAAGAAGAGGAACAAAGTTACATAGGGCATTGTTTCATAGGGCGCACCCTAGGAGACAAACTGTTCTTTTCAGGTTCCTTTGAGTATTAAGAGGAAATATCAAAGTGTATATTTGTATAGAATTATGTGTATATATGTGGGTTTAGAAATTTATGCATAATTGTTTCTTTGGTGAAATAATTTCAACAAAAATATTTATTAGTTATCAGTAGTGGAAGCATTTACATTGTAGAAGTTGGCAATCGGGGGGATTTTTCTTCCTTTCCAGACAGTTTACCAGCACACTAGTAAACATTTTGGCATCAGTCTAAAGGAAAACGTATCTAAGTTTTGAACAAGTTAGGTAACTATCAATATGTTTGTTCAAAACAGCCTTTATGATCTTGAGGATATATTCCAAATACTAAACATATGGTGCTGTAAGACAGACATTGGACTGCTAACTGCAAAGTTGGCAGTGCAAACCCACTAGCCACTCCTTGCAAACCTTATATAGGGTGGCTGTGAGTTGACCGCACTTAACAACAACAAAAATGCTAATTTTTTATCTTATAAATAAAATGATAAATGTTACTATAAATTGTGTGAATAAATGGTTTCTTTACAAGAGATGGAGCTACATGATGAGGTTAGGTAGTATTGGGAATACACTCCTAAACAAGAGATTTTGAATATCAAAATACGTCTCATCTCTTTAGTAAATTACAAGAGTGGAAATAAATACATTTAAAATATGCTTGATAGAAACAAATACTGTTGAATGATGATGCACGGAGGGGGTTGTAATCATTGCAATGAAGTGATGAGTGTAAAACCTATGTTCTCCCATGTAAACTATCTCTGAATTCACAATAAAAACTTAAAAAAAAATGTTTGAATTTTGCAAATCAAGACTGAATGACTCACAGCTGTGGACACAAACTACCCCACACTACATGTGGTAATTAGCATAGTCTAAGAATGAAACACTTACTGTTCTTGAGCAGAACAAAGGTCTAATAAAACTCAAACCAGGAATAATTATAGAACTATGTACAGGGCTTTAAGGAGATCTGGTAGCGTTGTTGTTGTTAATGCTGTGGAGTCAGTTCCGACCAGTGTAGGGTTTCCGAGGAGCAGCTGGTGAGCTTGAACTACCGACCTTGCAGTTCAAATAGCTTTGCAGTCTGGTGCATTAACCCACAGCTCCACACCAGGACTCCATTTGGTAGTGTAGTGGTTACGAATTGAGCTGCTAACCTCAAGGTCAGCAGTTCGAAACTACCAGCTGTTTCATGGGAGAAATATGAGGCTTTCTGCTCCCGTAAAGATTTACAGCCTCAGAAACCCGGTACAGGGTCACTATGAGTCAGAATCGACTCCACAGCATACCACCACCACCAAGTAAATTATTTAAGATCCCCTGTCACTGAACTGAGTCCCCAGAAGACCAGGAGAGGTATATACCAGTACACCTGGGATTTGGTTTCAGATTAGAGTTTGCAGAATTGTACTATTGCTCGTATAATTTATTACTGTCATCTTTGAAACTGTGTGAAAATTGAACAAATTTTCTGAAGAAATAAATCTTAATTTGTGGAGGAGTTGTGGTGATAAGATCAAAGATAAATACAGGGACTTGTTTCAGTATGCTCCTGACATAATACAATTTTTCTTCCTAGCTCTTAATTTTTAGTGGCAGAAAACTGGGCCAGAAATTTCTAACCAATTATGTCTCCAAATTTCTAACCATTAGACTGGATACTCTCAAACAGGTTTTGTCTAGACTTTAGGTACTAAAATAAAAATATACACTTTACACAATGAATAATGCACTTGTTGGACAATTCCAAAATACTTTACAAAGTGATCTTCTCTGACATCTAGTTATGTTGTTGTTAAGTGCTGTTGAGTCAGCACCAACTCATACAAGGATGCTTAAAATATATTTCATCTGCACTGTACCTTTTTTTTTTTCTCCAAAGCAGTTTACTTTATGAGGTCATGTTATATATGTTTCCATGGCAATAAGATGCAAATGTCTCACTTTTTAAATGTCAACAATAAGCCAGGGACTCAAGACTTCAATATCTGTTCCCATTTGTCATTTTACTTGCTGTTCCAAAATTATGGCTTCTAGAAAAATAATAATGTTTTAAAGGAGATTTACCTGATGATATAGAGAATGTCTTAATACATTGTGACTGTCAGGCAAAACCTGTCTTTCATGGTTGTAGGATATTAAATGGCACATGAAGCCCATGGTTACTCAATGAGCAGTTTAATTACTTGAGAGAAAATTTAATTATCAGTTGGTGTCAATTTCTGGAGATCTGAAGGTATATATACTATATTTCTTCCTTCCCTTCTCTATCTTTCTTAAACAGATTGGGTAGGTTTCCAATTTTGGAAAACATTCATGAAATTCTGTTCATGGACCCCAGCCCCATTTGCAATCAGGGTCTTCCTAAGACTTGCAGTTTTAGATGCTTCACAGTCTAACCTTACACGTTTCCTGAGAAAGGCCAATGTCTTCCTGCTTCATCAGATGTATGATTTCATTGTACAAACGGTTAGGAGCATCCAAACCCCAGATGAAATCCACGTGAGCCCATTCAGGAATGTTCTTATGGTAGATGAGGTTGGTCACTTCTGAAAGCAGTGTTTTCACATCGTCGGGATTTGATAGCCAGTCCTGACCACCAGTCCACATTGCTGTAGGAACCATCATATCTCTAACTTTGTACCTTAAAGGAGTGGGCTAGAGATAAGGAATGTTTTTTAATTCTAGATACCATTAGGATGTCCACATTTTTAACTTAACTTTCAAAAAAAACATAGTAAATATGCCCTATGTTGTGGTGGAAGGTGCACGGGTGTTAGAACCATACGTAACTGCATTAGGGTTTGTGTTCAAAGACAAAATGACTTCATGTCACTGAAACTCAGTTTCTTCAGCTGTGAAATGGGAACAATATCTGTAATAATTCACTAGATAAAATCAGAAAACATATAAACTAACTAGCACTTTAGGCTTATGAATAAATATTTTGCATACAATTTGCCTTTAAAAATAATGTCCCTGTCTATTTAAATTATAATTTCACAAGTGTTCCATGAGACAAAAATATTAGATCTATTTTATATTATAAAATAGAATTATTCTACAAAAAAAGGCAAGAAAATGGAAGCTACTAGAACCTGATACGACTTCCCTCTCACACATTTCCAACAGGTGTGTTTTCAGCAGATGATACTGGATTTTTTTACTCTGAGATCACAGGAAAACCTTGAGACAGGCACAGTTTTACTGCCTCTCTCTAGAGAAGAGGAAAGCAACAAGTTGTTCTACTGCACAGGATCTCAGGTAGTTTGAACCAAGATGAGGCAGAAGGTAGGTCCCTGTTCAAACCTCCTGTTACTCAAAGGTGTGTCCAGTATTCCTAATTCCTGGGAATTCCCCTTATTCAAGTAGTACAATCAGATCAGGCTGTCTGGCTGAGCCCTCAAGTTCATCAGCACCATAGAAATGACAAGTCCATTTCTTACTCAGCAAAACCCCTGTGGAGTCTCGCCTCGAATCCCAGCTCATTGTTCCTCTCTGTGGTCTCTAAGGCACTAGAGTTATACCCTAAAGTAGATTGTGAAGTTTGGAATATTTGATAGGGCCATAGTTTTTCTTACCTTACAGGTGAAAAGTATTGAAATAAATACTTCTGCCTAGTTCTATTGTTATCGCTGTTGTTAAGTGCCGTCAGCTGGTTCCAACTCATAGTAACCCTGAATAGGATTTCTGAGGGGTGGTTGCTGAGTTGGACTTTGCGGTTAACAGTCCAGTGCTTATTTATGACACCTGTTTTTGTGTGTGGTGTGTGTGTGGAGGGAGGTTCCCTTCCATAACTATTTTTCAGTAGTGGTGATGGTGGTGGTTATGTGCCGTGGAGTCGGTTCCGACTCATAGCGACCCTATACAGGGTTTCCAAGGCTGTAATCTCTAGGTCAGCAGTTTGAAGCTACCAGCTGTTCTGTGGGAGAAAGATGAGGCGTTCTGCTCCCGTAAAGATTTACAGCCTTAGAAACCCTATACAGGGTCGCTATGAGTCGGAACCGACTCCACGGCACACAGCCACCACACAATCTGTTTGGGGTCCTGGTGTGATGCTCTAGGATAAGCACTTGACCACAACATTGGTTTGAACTGCAAGGTCGTTGGTTCAAATTCACCAGCCACTTCTTGGAAACCCTATACAGGGTTTCTATGGGTCAAAACCGACTCAACGACACTAAACAACAACACACTCTATTCAATTTCCTATCTTTTTTTCCTGGATTAATATGCAGTGAGTGGATGTGAAACACAATATGAAGAATTGGGTTGTGTCCACCCTGTTCCCTCCAGCTTTCTGTTTGTGTTTTCGATACCTGTTGACATTCACATATGTTTGTTGTTGTTATTATGTGCTGTGTAGTCGGTTCTGACTCATAGCGTCCCTGTACAGGGTTTCCGAGGCTGTAAATCTTTACGGGAGTAGAAAGCCTCATCTTTCTCCCGTGGAACAGCTAGCAGTTTCGAACTGCTGTCCTTGCGGCTTACAGCCCGATTCGTAACCACTACGCTACCACATATGTTTATCAGTATTCTTAAATGAAACTTTTATGTTTAGAAGAACATACGTATCCTTTTCTACTTCACTTACGACACAAAGATAACTCATTCCCAAGTGGGATTATAATCCTAGGCATTGTTGTTGTTCCTGTTCAGTGCCATTGAGTTAGTTCTGACTCATGTTGTTGTTGTTGTTATTGTTAGGTGCCATCAGGTCGGTACCAACTCATACCAACCCTATGCACAACAAAACGAAACACTGCCCGATCCTGGGCCAACCTCATTACTGTTGCCACCCTTGAGCCCATTGATGCTGCCACTTTGCTGATCCATCTCACTTTTTCTCTGACCCTCCACCTTACCAAACATGATATCCTTCTCCAGAGAATGGTCCCTCCTGACAATATGTCTGAAGTATGAGAGACAAAGTTTGGCCATCCTGGACTCCAAGGAGCACTCTGGCTACACTTCTTCCAAAACGGATCTGTTGTAACATTATTTTTCATATATTTTACTTGCAGATTACAGATTCATTAAAAGTCTGACCTGAAGATCTCTTTAAGATCATCTAGTCCAGTAATTTTTTTTTTTAAAGATAAAGAAATTGGGGCTTGTAGAATCAAAATGACCTTCCCACTTGATGCACAGTCGTGCAAAGACAAGACAAACACAAGAATACCCACTTGCTCTTTACTGACATTTTGTCTGTACCATAAAACTGTTCTACCCTATTGTCATTTCCATTCTTCCTTTTCTTAACCCTAAGAGACCCTCCTAATAACTACTATAGTCTACATTCTTCTAAATCTACGTCTTGTTCCAGAGATGTTTCGTTCCTGCTTCACAGAGGCAGCCACATCAGGAAAGTCCTCCTACTTCATTGAGGAAGCACCAGGTCCTGATGTGGCACTATAGGATAAACACGGAACTGCCAACCACTGGCAGTTCAAACCCACTAGCTGCTCCTTGGAAACCCTCTTCAGGGTCAATTTGAGTGGAAACTGACTCAATGGTACTTAACAACAACAAGATCTCTTGGTTAAGATGTAAACTTCTCAAATGGAGTCAAACCTGAAGGATTCTTTTCTACTTGAATTCATGTATTTTATTCCTGTATCGCTAATAAATTGCCACTACGACTTCCGCCTCACACATTTCCAGTGGATGGTATTGAACTCCTTTACCTGATTGCTTTTCTCCAGATTCTTGGTCTCACTTCCCCAATCAAATGCCCGTAGTTCTCCAGAATTTACTGCCTAAAAGGAAGTTAAAAAGTTACAAGGCATTCAAATGTCTCACTGGGTAAGGGTGAGGTGGTGGTGGAAATGTGCTACCAAACCTAGGATTGTGAGCAAAATAGAAACCCAAGGCTGAGTTATTCCTCTGTTCAGTTAAGTGTCTTTGAATTGGTTCTGACCCATTGCAACCCTGTAGAGGGTTTCAGAGGAGCAGCTGGTGAGCTTGAAATGCTGACTTTGCAGTTCAAACCGACTTTGAAGTCCAGCACATTAACACACAACGCCACACCAGAACTCCTCTTGTGGGAAGTGTAAGGTTAAAAAAAAAGAAAAAAAATCCTTTCAGGGAGAAAAATGTATTAAGAAATACTTGACACCTAGATTATGCAAATCCAAGAAGTGCATCCTCATTTTAGTCTGTGTGGTTATTCTGTGCCACTCCATAGGCTAGAGTGAGAAAAATGCTTTCTGAAATGGTACAATGCAGTGGTCCTGGGAGACAGTGGCCAAAACATCACCCAATTCAGAATTCTTTGGCTTTGCTTATGAAATATTATACATGCACAAACACATCAAAATATAACAATAGAAGAATGTGACTGGACTCCAAATTATAAGAAGAGTAGATTGGATCAATATTTATGATTCACAGTCATCATCATCAGTATTCTTAAACTATTCTACTCAAGACCTTCTCTTTTATTTTATGTATGTATGTATGTATGTATGTATGGCAGGTGTGCTCTAGCCCTCGTCTCATAACTGCTTTTAGTTCCATATCCAACTGGTGTCACCCTCTGTCTCACAGCATCTATCGTGAGCACTCTTAGTGTCAAAGCTTCTTCATCGGGAAAGAACACTTAGCATTTACATGTGATACTCCATTGTCCTTGGAGCAATTCTTAATTCTTTGCCTTCAATTAAACACATGGCCTCTTAGAGACAATTCATGTGATTGCTAATGTAGTATTTCATTCTCAGGATTGCAGGTAAAATTTGCAACACAAATGGCTCCTGTTAAAACCTCTTTGGGCAATTAAGGCAAGTAATTTAAGGCAGGCGCCATCTTAGCATTTTTTGCTGGATGGTTGCTGGATAGAGGCCATCCACTTGGTGCATAAATTTGATCTGCAAGGTTGGTGGTTCAAACCCACCACCTGCTCCTCTGAAACACTACAGAGGCTGCTGTCGGTTGGAACCGACTCAGCGGCACTTAACAATAACAACAACAGGGTTTCCAAGGCTGTATATCTTTATGGGAGCGGAAAGCTTCATCTTTCTCCCATGGAGCACCTGGTGGATTTCAAATGTTAACCTTGCAGTTAGCAGCCCAAGGTGTAACCCACCAGGCCATCAGGGCACCTTGCACTTTCCTCTACTACTGTTATTTGACCAAGTTACTGAAAGAGCCAAAAAGGTGAATGCAAAAACAAGCCTCATATTTTTATGGCTAAAGACAGAGAAATGTCTCACTGGGACCACCTTGATTCACACTTAAAAGCACTAAACATGCCACGGGGCTACTCCTATCTTTTCATTTTCTACAAAAATTCAATGCTGTAGATAAATTTATAGTTGACATACCACTGACAGAGTTGAGTTTTATCTCAGAATTAATGAGAAAAATTCCTGGACTGTCAAAGGGCATCCCTTGAGCATTCTCTACCCTGTGCAATGCTCTTAGCAAAACATGTGACTTCACATTCAACATTCTTACCTGGCTCCAGTGTAGGATATTTTGCACAGAAGTTCCAGCAGGTGTATGGGCCACGTACACATTGGCTCGGCTCTGTAACAAAGCATGAGTGGCTTGTGGGACTTAGAAAAAGTCACAAACTGTGTACTTGGTCAAGACCAAATCTCCAGGGTGTCAGACTAAGAGATGGGAACATCATTAAATTATCAACAATTATCTATGAAACACTATTATTCATGTGTACATAAATTAAAAAGCCAACTAAATGTGTTCTCAGGCACCTACATTCATAATCTAACCATAATTTCTCATTATAGAGCTGACCTCTGTAAAAACATAATAAATAAACAAAACTTTACTAGAGTTACTAAGGATCTTTTTGTTAGATCTCAGCAAGTCCATTTTTGACTCACAGAGACTGCAGGAGACCGAGCAGACGTTCCCCACAGTGTTTTCTAGACTGCATTTTATGGAAGCAGATCAGCGGGTCTTTCCTCCAGTGGGTTTGAACCATTAACTTTACGGTTATCAGACAAGCACTTAACTGTGCACCACCAGAGTTCCTATATTGAAGATGTTCCTGTTGTTCTTAAGCGCCTTTGAGTCATTTCTGACTCACAGTAACCCTGTATAGGGTTTCCCAGGAGTGGTTGATAGGTTTGAACCACCACCTTGTGGCTAGCAGTCCAGTGTTAATCATATACCTCCACACCAGGGCTCCATATAAGGATGAAGACTCTGAAACTGGACTGCCTGCTTTAAAATTCTGACCTTGCCACTGAATTCTTAGGTGAATTTAAGTGACTTATTTAATAACAGGAGTCCTAGTGTGGCGCTGTGGGCTAATGCGTCAGACTGCAAAGCCATTTGAACTGCAAGGTCAGTGGTTCAAGCTCACCAGCTGCTCCTTGGAAACCCTATACAGGGTCACAATGGGTTGGAATCAACTTGATGGCACTTAACAAGAACAACAAATTTAATATTGAAATCTCAGAACACTAATCCTTAAAGTAATGAGGATATTGATAATATGTCTTTCACAGGTTTGCCATAGGAATTAATTTAGCATGTTGTTGTTAGGTATCTTCCAGTAGATTCTGACTCATAACTGCTCCGTACAACAGAAGGAAACACTGTCCCGTCCTGTACGGAACATAATACATGTCTACCAAATGGTAGCTCCTACTGAAATCACTGCATTACTAATAAAACAGACTCTTGGTAATTTAAAGAATTATTCTTCCAACTCTTGAAAGTGCTGATGGCATATAGCCCTCCAGTATCTCAGGGGTTGAGAGCTGGATTGCCAAATGAGTCCTCATTTCTGGGGTGGACGGCATTAAAAGACTGAAGACTCTAATGTGGAAAATCTCTGAAGAGTCAGCCCTGAGGTTTTATTTTTTGGAGATTATATCCCAGCTCTATTTTCTCATTTGCCCAAACCTGTTTCTATCCAAAAGCACAACCCCAAACCATTGTGTGCACTAAATTCCATGTCAGAGTATGCTTACTAGGAAACCTACCCGTGACTCTCACTTATGTTGTTATTTGTTGTCAGGTGTCATCGAGTCTGTAGTTCTGACTCACAGTGACGCTGCGTGTAACAGAATGGAACCCTTTCCAGTTAGGCACCATTGTCACCATCATTGCTGTTTGAGCCCATTGGTGTGGTCACTGTGTAGATCTATCTCATTGAGAATTTTCAAACCCTCTGCTTTACCAAGAAGGAGCTCTGGTAGCATAGTGGTTATGAATTGGGCTGTGAGCTGCAAGGTCAGCAGTTTGAAACTACCAGCTGTTCCATGGGCGAAAGATGAGGCTTTCTGCTCCCGTAAAGATTTACAGCCTCAGAAACCCTATGCAGGGTCACTATGAAGCAGAACTGACTCACGGCACATAACAACAGCAACAACTTCACCAAGCATGATGTTTTTCTCCTGATAACATGTCCAAGTAATTGAGACAGATCCCACCATCCTGTCTTCTAAGGTACATTCCTATTGTACTTCTTCCAAGAAAGATTTGCTAATTCTTGTGGCAGCCCATGTATGTTCAATAGCCTTTGCCAATAATTCAGAGGCATCACATTTTCTTTGGTCTTCCTTATCCATTGTCCAGCTTTTGTTTGCATATGAGGTGATTGAAAATACCATGACTTTAATCAGGTACACCTTAGTCTTCAAATTGATATCTTTACTTTTTAAAACCTTGAAGATGTCTTTTGCAGCAGATCTCCTCAGTGCAATACATCCTTTGAGTTCTTTCTTTCTTGCTTTTTTTTTTTTACTTTTTATTGTGAACTGGGTAAAGATTTACAGAGATCATGAGTTTTATAGTTAACGAAGTTATTTGATTTCTGGACTGCTGCTTCAGTGGGCCTTTGTTGTTGTTCTTGTTAGGTGCCATTGAGTTGGTATCAACTCATAGCGACCCTATGCACAACAAATGGAGCATTGCCCGATCCTGGGCTAACCTCATAATTATTGCCATGCTTGAGCCCATTGATGCTGCCACTTTACCAATCCATCTCGCTGGGTGGGGGGGGGGGTGGTCTTACTCTTTTTCTCTGACCTTCCACCTTACCAAACATGATATCCTTCTCCAGTGACTGAACCCTTGTGACATTATGTCCAAAGTATGTAAGATGAAGTTTAGACATCCTGGCCTCCAAGGAGCACTCTGGCTGCACTTCTTCCAACATGGATCTGTTGGTTCTTTTGGCAGCCCATGGCACTTTCAATATTCTCCTCCAACACCATAACTCAAATGTGTCAATTCTTCTACAGTCTTCCTTATTCACTGTCCAGTCTTTGCACACATATGAGGTGATTGAAAATACCATGGCTTGGGTCAGGTGCACCTGAGTCTTCAAGCTGACATTTTTGCTCTTCAACACTTTAAAAAGGTCTTGTGCAGCAGATTTGCCTAATGCAATTATGTCATTTGATTTCTTGAGTGCTGCTTCCATGAGTGTTGGTAGTTGATCCAAGAAGAATGAAGTCCTTGACACCTTCGATCTTTTCTCTGTTGATAAGAATGTTGGTTATTGGTCCAGTGGTGAGGATTTTTGTTTTCTTTACATTGAGATGCAATCCATACCCAACGCTGTAGTCTTTGATCTTCATCAGTAAATATTTTAAGTTCTCCTCACTTTCAGCAAGCAAGGTTGTATCATCTGCATATCGCGGTTGTTAATGAGTCTTCCTTCAATCCTGATGCAGCATTTTTCTTCATAGAACCCAGCTTCTTGGATTATTTGGTCAGCATACAGGTTGAATAAGTATGGTGAAAGAATACAGCCCTGTCACACACCTTTCTTAATTTGGGCCTAAGATGACCAAATCTCCCAGACCTCCCATCAAAGGGATCAAGTCACATACCAGAATGATCCAACTAGGTGGGTGATGTATGGGATTTCTCTTCTTTGACTGTTATTGTTGCTGTTAAGTGCCGTTGACTCGGTTCCAACTCATAGCGACCCTGTATAGGGTTTCTGAGGAGCAACTGGTGAGCTTGAACTATCAACCTTGTGGTTCAAATTGACCTTGCAGTTCAGTACATTAACCCTCAGCACCACACTTTTTTTCATTGCTAACTCAACTCAAGTAAAGCTACTTTCAGATGTCTCCCATCTCTAATCAATGAAGCTGGCATTTAGCAATGCCCTTATATTAGTCTTACCTCAACCTATGCTGACTGGCTTTTCTGAAAGTTTTAGAGTGTAGCGAACCAAAAAATGGGGTGTGTGTTGTTTCCCTAAGCCTTCCGTGTCATTAGTTTACCCTCCAGGAATGAGAATAATAAATCTTAGATTTGCTTTGTGAAACAAAACACTTGCCACTTACCATGTTCATATTGTTTGAATTAAATCCACCCAGAAGCAACATGATATTGCTACAAATCTGGTCAATTATCACCTGGCCACAAAGGTAAATCACAAACTGTCTGAGAATTCTGTTCTGGTGCAGGAATTCTTTTTTTCCAAACAATCCCTGTAAAAATATGAAATGAAACAGTAGTCATTAAATTCCAGGCAAGAAAGAAGTGACTCTAATGTCAGTCTATGCTTCAGCAAATTGAGCAACATAGACTCCTCCCCGGAGGCAAGGGATTACCTGAGGATTCCCATACCTTGATCATCATATCTGGCAGCAACAAAAATTTGGTTCCAGGGCTTTTTGCATATTTGACAGTGGCAATAGGAGCTAGAGCAAAATACATTTTAATTTTCTGAGCCAGCTCAGGCATGGTGGAAAATGCAATGAAGCCTGTGAGAGGAGAAGTATGTCAGTATGTAGTCAACACATCCTAGAACTCAGAAGATATTTATTTTTACCAAGATAATGTATTGGTATATCTGTTTTTTTAATTATATTTTTAGGGGGTTTTGGTGAAGGTTTACACAGCAGTTTAGGTTCCTATTCAATAATTTTTACACAAGTAGTTGTTCAGTGACTTTGGTTACATTCTTCACAATGCAGGAACATTATCAATACTTCCATTCTGGTAGCTTCGTTTCCATTATTCTAGTTTCCCTACACCTTACCTTTTCATCTTTGTTTTAAAATAATTGCAGATCATTTGGTCTCATATGGATGATTTTTAAAGGAGAATAGTAATTACAAGTGATAGTCTTCATTTTGCAAACCAATCTGTTATTTAGCTTAAAGGTGACCTCAGAGGCTATTCGAATTTTAATATCTTAATTATTCTATGAAACTATAAGCTCCTTAAAGGAGAAAAATAAAAAGAAAATGAAACAAAAGCAAAAAAGTCTATATTTCCTATGACACACAGAATATTTGTTTCAGGTAGTGGATTCTCAGTGAATTATTAAATACAAAAATATTGACTGAGAATATATTGAGAGTGAGAGAGATGAAGTTATGTATAAGAGGGCATCAAAATGCCTGTGGAAAAGTGAAGTTAAATGGCTATGTATTTTTCCACTAATGTTTTGAAGCTCCCTTGTATTAGATATTTTTGATTAGGACTTTCATGGTTCTTACATCAGTTAATTCTTGGAATCCTTTAAGCTTTTTGTTTATTTATTTTTTAAATCTCCACTTTACAGAGAAAGAAATTGAGAATCAGAGCAATTATTATGCTTAGCAACTGTGTTCTGTTACATAATGGACATGGGAAAGAGCAGGTGTGGGGGAGTTTCTCCCTGATCCCTAACTTTTCTGGAATCTAAATTGTAACAATCTAGTGGACAAGTAGTTGCATGAACTAAATTCCAACATTGATTTCTGCCCATAGACTTGTTATAAATTAGTCTGTGTCTCAGTTTCTTTATCTATAAAATAGATGAATTCCCTGAATTACCACTTTACAGCAACAGCTCTGTGGTGCCTTTGAGAGAAAAAAGGCTATTCTATAAAGCTAGGGCACAGTCATTATATTTGAAAAACTGTGTGACTCTTTTGAAAGAGTCTGTGTGTCTGTCTGGGCTGATACTTGCAGTTTTCAGGGCTTCGACAGAGGAAAAACTAGCATCCCATAACTGCTTTCTAGATCCCAGGAGGTTAGTGAGTTAGAAAGAAGACTAAATCTCTCTTGACTTTTTCTTCCATCTGATTAGGTTGTCAGACACTTACAAACAAAAGTAGGCACAAAAGTAACTGGGCATCACTTCTTGCTCTCCCAGCTGTGCCATCATTAGAATGAGGTTGAAAATACATTAAATTATGTCCCAGCTGAATTCTAACCATCTATGAACTCTGTGTGGCACTGTGGGTTAATGCGCCAGACTGCAAAGCTGTTTGAACTTTAAGGTTGGCAGTTCAAGCTCACCAGCTGCTCCTCGGAAACCCTATATAGGGTCGCTATGGTTCGGATCCGACTCAATGGCAGTTCACAACAACAACAACAACATGAACTCTGTTCAGATGGTAAGACCTGAGAACTGTAGGTAATTTCTCTCAGTAATAGTTCTCTTAATGTGAAAGTTCTTCATACGAACACCTCTGTGATTCACTACTGGGAGAATCCTATGCTTTTTGTCCCGTACTTTCCCTGGAAATCGCCTTTAGCCTCATCATAAATACCTCTCTTTTCATGTCACTGAAGAGCTTGGAGTGTAGAAACTACAACACAAACAAAACTTTAGAGGCCTCGGGTAAATAGTAAGTACAAACAGCACTAGAACTTTCTAAGATGTGCCTTGTAACGGAAAGTGTTAACTAGAATAAACTGTTGATGTTGTTGTTAAGTGCTTTCGTGTTGGTTCCAACTCATAGCTACCCTGTATAGGGTTTCCAAGGAGCAGCTGGTGAGTTTGAACCGCTGACCTTGTAGTTCAAATCGACCTTGTGGTCCAGTGCTTTAACCCACAGCGCCACAAAATAAGTTAGCAATAGTGAAAAACAAGGAAAGCAAAACATAAAAGTCAAACTCTTCATTCACTAGAGAAAAGCAATTAAAAATGAGCCTCATGAACTTTTGTCCTGAATTGCAATAGTCCCATGACTCCTGCTTTGCTATTCATTTTTATTCTCTGACACAATATCCTTATCAGTGAGCAATGAGCATAAATGATCGCTTGGAAAGAGCTTTGGAAAGTTCTATTAGGACTTTCTAGTAGCACGGTTAATGTTTAAGAAGCTCTTATGAAGCACGTTCTCCCCTCCAGACACCTACAATAACATTATGATTCATGCAAATATGAAAGAATAAGGAGAGGTAAGTAAAAATAGCCCATTATTCTGCTGCCTACCAGACTAACCAGACTCAGATAGAGTGAGCCAGGGGGTCCAGGCCACATAGTTTCGTCTTTGCTAATTAGGTTGGTCATGAGTCTTAGACTTCTTCCTTGGGATGAGTTTGTTGAAACCAAGTAACTTGCAGGAGAGGTTTAAACAATTTGATAAGGAATTTTCCTAGAAAACAGTAGACTTATATAAAACCACTTCCCCATCAGTGGTGGCTTGAAGTTTCTTAGAGCAACTGTTTGTCCTCCACTTGCTTGAGGATAAAATTCAAACCTGAGGAATGTTAGAATGAGATAAATAGACTATTCTATTCCTGAGAGATAAGTAATGAGCACAGGGTGAACTCTGGCTTACCAACAGCTACTTGACGGGATAATGCTTATTATGAACTTTTGCAGAATCAAATTACCTGACAAATCAATGTCAGAGGTCAAAGTGATTGGATGACCTGCTGAGTTCCCAGAAACCAAATGGCTTAAGACTGATGTATTGTAGAATTAAGAAAGCTACAAATATCTTCTGAGTTAGCTAAAAACTGGTAAGATTTTTCCAGAAAGAACTGAGTAAAATTTCCTCAGTTCTGTTTGTAAAATGATAGCAATGCTGAATATTTACTGATTGCCTATTATGTGCAAGACACTGAACTCAGGGTTTGTATTCATTCATTCATCGCATATTTAGAGTACGCACTATGCGCCAGCAAGTGCTCCCACATAAGTGTCTTAGGCAAGTGTCTGCCTTCACAAAACTTGTTGCTGTTATTAACAGTTCGGACTCATAGTGACCCTGTATGGGGTTTCCAAGGAGCAGCTGAGGGTTTGAACTGCCGACCTGGTTTGTGGTTTGCAGTCTAGTGCTGAACTCGAATTTTATATACATTATCATATTGAATACTCCAAATACATTTAAGAGGTAAGTATTGATTATCTATTTTATAGAGGAGAAAATTGAGACCAGGGAGGTAAAATAACTTGCTCAAGGTTATTTACCCATGAGGAGTCCTTGTGTGGCGCTATAGGATAAGCACTGGACTGCAAGGTTGGTTTGAACCACAAAGTCTGTGGTTCAAACTTACCAGCCGCAACTCAGAAACCCTATACAGGGTTGCTATGAGTCAGAACCAAATTGATGGCACTAAATAAGAACTCTGGTAGCGTAGTGGTTACGAATTGGGCTGCGAACCACAAGGTCAGCAGTTCAAAACTACCAGCTGTTCTACGGGAGAAAGATGAGGCTTTCTGCTCCCGTAAAGATTTACAGCCTCAGAAACCCTGTACAGGGTCACGATGAGTCGGAACCGACTCCATGACACATAACAACAACAACAACAACAACAAATAAGAACACTTAATAAGAAGCGGCAGGGCTAGAATTTGAATCCACATCTGTCTGACTCCAAGGTACTTATTCTTCCTACCCACCCATAGTTCTCCCCTGATTTAGTCTGTTTCCTCTTGGCCCTTAGAGTCAGAGTCACGGAAAAGGATAAATCCATGAGGTTAGATGGGCACTGATCCCAAGCCTAGTTGTTGAGTCAGATGCTCATGTTTCTTCTGTTTATACAAACCTGCTTTCCTTTGAACCTACCCATGGTGGTGCCCTGAGAATAGCCGACATAATAGATCTTTTCCTGGCCCGTTTTCTGCAAAATAAAGTTTATCACTGCAGGAAGGTCAAACCTAGCCATCTCATCATAACTACAAGGGGAAAAGACAAAGTTATACAAAAAAATTATAATCAGACTACACAAAAGAAGAGCAGGGGTTAACAAGCAAGTCCCTGAGTAGTGAATCCCAAAACCTGTATCTGCCCCTCAAAACACTCAGAATTGACAAGATGCATGCCTTTGATTCAGGGGTACCTCTCAAATTACAGGTTGTCAGTAAACTGCCATTTTCTGATGTTATAGAGAAAGTGCTCACTATTCTTAATGAATCTTTACTAATGGACGTGTCCTAATTTACTGTTAGCACAATAACACAGGGACTCCATGTAGATGCAGTTATACGAAAAGTATTAGGAACTTCAGGGCCTTTTCTCTGTTGAAATGTATGCAGAGTAGGTTGATTGTCGATAGGTGAGTTAAATAAAACATGAAAAGCATTTTGTAAGCACGTGAGAGATGTGTTAATCAAGTGGATGACCCCTAAATGTAATAATTTCCCTTATTTCTTTAATTCTGCCTTGTCTCATCTTCTGGGGGTTCTAGCCCTTGTCTTTACTCTTATTTACAATATAAACCAAGCATTAGTTCCAGGATACACATCTACAAGGCACTAAACATTTCAGAGTAAAGATTTTTCACCTTATTAGACAGATCCAACCTTCCATGTGAGAAACCTATCTTCCCCCCAAAAATCACTAGCTAATTAAAATAATCAGAAGGGTTTTCTCAGTGTTAGATTAGCCAGTAAGCAAGATAAACACAAGTTTACTTGTGTTTATTTACTAATCTGTGGTAAAAAGTAAGCCCAAATGAGCCTGTGCTTACCTTACTTATTGGGTAACCCTCCCCTGGATGAACCCCATGTGAAATTGTATACTACAGATTGGTAAATAAGCACAAATAATAAGGTAAAATAAAACAGCATTTAACCTTGCTTATTGTGTAATCCGTTCTTGGATTTCACACTAGGATATTGAAGTTCCAACAACAGTAAATTAACCAAAGACTGGAAACCCTTAATGCTTTATCCAACTCTACCAGACACAGCCATGGCCACCTTCATTAGCAAGATGTTCATATACCTGAAAGCCCAGAACTCATCTTGGTCTATGGAGAGAGTTTTGTGTTTCCGAGACCAGGTGTTTCCTCTACTGTTCCCCATCCACACGTCATAACCAGCATCTGCCAGAATGAAGCCCAGGCTGTTGTTGGGTAGGTTGGAAATCCAGTTACTGGCATCTCCAAGGAGTCCATGCTGTAGTAACACCACAGGTCTGGAACCTGCAAAAAGAAGGTTTTCAACGATCTGAAATGACCTCCACCTTTCTCATTCTCTGCTAATATTCAAGGGCATTCATATCAGACAGTCTTATCATCAAGTCTTGATTCAACTGCTTGCTAGAAGTTTCCACTATCATTAAATAGAATAGTGCATGCCTAGCACAGAGAAAGAATGAATAAAGGTGACTTCCCTTATTGTGTATGAGAAGTTATTACAACTTGTCTGGGCTCTTCTGAGGAGGATATTGAAAGTGCGCCTGGCGGTATATAAGTAGATAGATTGTTGTTGTTGTCAAGTGCCATTGAGTTGATTCCGACTCATAGTGAGCCATTATAGAGTTTCCTAGGGGCGGCTGGTGAATTTGAACTACAGACCTTGCAGTTAGCAGTCCAGTGTTTATCCTACAGCACTAGACAAGCAGATAGATAGATAAATATGTATAAATACAGATAATGGGTATATGTACAGATATTTAATGGTTACAGACTTTGGAATGAGCTGAGTCTGTGTTATAACTATGTCTTCCTCCTTAGTGATAACCCTAATTCAGGATCGTGACAATGAAAGTAGACGATTTGTCTGATAAAAAAGTAAGAAAGTCTTCAAATTATACAAGTCTATAATAAAGAGCAGCCTTGGTGCTTCTGTTATTGCTGGAGGTGACTTTCTGAGCTTCATTGTCCTCACCAGAAAACTAGGATGCCATCACCCACCTTGCAGGCTGTTTGGAGAGTTAAATGAGGTACTGTGCATTAAGTCTTCAGCATGTCCCCTGAACCATTGTATGCTCTCACTAGATGGAAGCTATTATTATTATTATCATAAAGACGTGAACCAAATCTTGAATCAAAGATGTGCTCAGTCTCATTGTAGGACACAAGGTTTTCTACAATAGACTCATCCAGCATTTTATCCCTCTGAGAAGAGAAATGCTTAGGTCACAACTCAACAAGTGAAAAAGAGGTTGCTATTTTGAGCGGCAGCGAGATCTTGGAGCGGGCGGCAGTGAAATCTTGGAGCGGGCTGCAAGATTTGGAGTGGTGCTGTGTGTTAATGCGCCAGACTCCAAGGCTGTTTAGCTGCAAGGAGCAGAAAGCCTCATCTCTCTCATGCAGAAAGCCTGGTGGATTCGAGCTGCTGACCGCAGGGTTCGCAGCCAGATTTTTAAGCACTACACTACGACGAGGCCTTCCACCTTCAAGATGGCGGATAGGGTAGACATGTAGTGAGGAGCTCAATCAACAACAACACTGAATAGCGGACCAAGAGGACTCAAGAGATGGTGTTGGGACTCTGTAACAAATATAAAGGTATGTTTGGAAGTTCGGAGGGTTTATAGCTGGGGAATTTGCAGGAGAATCCAGAAATCCATTATTTTCTGGATCAAGACACTCAGCTGTTCCAGGAGCCCC